TAAATACATGATGTTATCATGCTTAGAAGCATGGTTTATATTCTAGACTGAATGTTTGTGTCACCCCCTAAATTTCCTATATTGAAACCTAATATCCACTTGTGATGGTATTTGAAGATGATGCCTTTGGAAGGGATTAGTGCCCTAATAAAATATTCCCCCAAAGAGCTCCCTCACTCGCCTTTCTGCCATGTGAGGACATGAACCAGGAAGCTGGCCCTCACCAGACAGTGAACTGCTGGCACTTTGATTTTGGACTTTCCCAGCCTCCAGAACTATGGGAAATAAATTTCTGTTGTTTATAAGCCACTGTCTATGGTATTTTGTTATAGTAGCCTGAACCAACTAAAATAGTTGGGTTTTAATTTTTTAACAGATACTGGTATATCATATTGGCTTGTTAATAACCAAGGCATTTTGCATACACAGTATCTCACGGTGGAAAAAATTAATATTATTTGCTCTGATGTTTTAAACTTTGTCTTTTCAACATAAGAGCCACACGAATTTAAGTGTCTCCCTTTTGCAGCAAGTTAACAATTTTATTGGACAAGTGTGTCCCTTGTTTTTGGTTGTTGGACCCGACAAGGATTAAACTAGATTACACATGTAACACTACATAACGTTTATCTGTGCCTAGTACAGAGGAGGCACACAAAAAAATATTTGCTGATGGAATTAATTTGATACACCATGTACAGGAACAGTCATTTAAAAAGGGCAAACAAACGGGATTTCGGTATATCCATTTAAATTGTATTTTCTTTTTCTTAACGGAGAGAATGAAGCGTTGAAAGGCCAGTGAAGTGGATAGATTCTAAGTGGGCAAAATAAACCCAAAGCGCCGAGCGAACAGATTGAGGCACTAGGAGGCAGAGCTGCACTAACTTCTCCGGAGGTCCCGCCTCCGCCTCTTTGTCCCTGCCCTGGTCTCCTCCCCGCCTGCGGTGCCCCGTTCCCACTGCAGTCGCCTGGGCCGTGATGAAGCAGTTTCCGCCCTAACAGGGGTGGTCCGGCGCCTCCTGCTCTCGCGAGGACTGGTGGTCGAACACATTCCCTCTTTGCTCCTCAGCTGGGTTCCCCGTCACAGTTCCGCCCTTACTACCCTCACTTCCGGCCCAAAAAGCCACCCAGAGAGGGGGTCGCCCCACGGGGGCTCAGGCGGTGGTCGGGTCCCTCTTTCCTGCCCACCCAAAGGCCCCACAACTTCCGCCACCACCGTCTCCTCCGCCGCTGGTCCTTCCGCCACGATCGACCAACCAGCTCAGGACGGGAGCTCTATTTCGCTCCGGGAGAGGAAAGGGCGGGGAGGAAGCACGCCTCCATCCCCTCGCCCATGGCTTTTCCCTTCGCCCGCCCGCCTCATCACCACACACCCTCCCACCTCCGCCGAGGCGAAGCCACATTCGCCCTGAGAGAGGCGGGGCTGCTCTTCTGGCGCCGCTCTCGCGATCGCTCAGACCTCTCGCGAGACCCGACGCCCGACTTGTGCGCCCGGGAAACCCCGTTGCTCCCTTTCCCCTGGCTGGCAGCGCGGAGGCCGCACGGTAGGGCGGGCGCTCCGGTTCGGGCTGGGCGCGGGGCGTCAGGGCCCGACTCCCCAGCCGGGAGCGCGTGCCGGGGGGCTCCGGGGCGACTGCGTGGGGCCGCTCCGCCCCCTGGAGCCGCAGCCACGTGCGAGCGGCAGGCCCGGGCATGCCCGGTCGGCGCGGTCCGGGAACCGAGACTGGGCCAGGTGGGCGGCGTGGATGCGGGGGGCGCCCCCCGGTTCGGGGGCTGGGGTTTTCTGGCGTTTCCACAAGGACACGCTAGTGCGTGTTTGTGCTTCTGCGACCCGCAGAGACCGTGAGCGGCGGTGAACTCGAGCACCCACAGGCGCCGGGGCCTTCAGGGCCCAGTACCGAAGCGGGACCTTGGGAAGTAACGGGAGTGCGGCGGTTTCAGTGGCGTGGCGGGGGAGGCCCCGGCTCTGTCAGTCGTCTGCACGGGTCCTGAGCTCACATGCGTGCTCTCTCTCTCTCAGATGCCTGGAGTTACCGTAAAAGACGTGAACCAGCAGGAGTTCGTCAGAGCTCTGGCAGCCTTCCTCAAGAAGTGAGTGTGGGAACGGGGTCTTCACGGCGGTTGGAAGCTGTGGTCTTTGCCTGGTTCCTCGGCAGGCGTTGTTTCTCTCCCCGGGGGGGGGGGGGGGGCGGGGCTTGTGTGAGGTCCCAGAGGGGAGTCCGCTTGTCTGCATGAGGCCTGGGTTTGGCTTGTAGTTGGGTTTCAGATGCTTTGTATTCTGGGACACATGGGGCTCCTGGTAACCTGCAGTTGTGCTGAGCAGAAGGGATTGGGGAGGGGGTGGAGTTTGTGCAGGTTCCTGAATCGTGCCTTTCTCACTGTTGGTCCCAGGTCTGGGAAGCTGAAAGTCCCTGAATGGGTAGACACTGTCAAGCTGGCCAAGCATAAAGAGCTTGCTCCCTACGATGAGAACTGGTTCTACACACGAGCTGGTGAGGAACTGGGGCCTCTGGGGAGTCGGGGCCTGGGTGACCTCTGGCATACATCATACCTCCCCATTCTCTCCGTGAGCCCAAGATCGCAAGAGGTGAAACTCTTTAAATTATAGTTGATGTACAGTGTGAGAGGAGAAACCTCAGACTGTTCCTGCGTGCTTGTGTGACACTCGATAACTTCACATTCTGAAGCTGTTTCTTCATTTGTAGGAGTTTTGTGTAAGGACTTGGGGCTTTCTCTGAGCCTCCAGGGAAATCAGGGTCAAATGAGTGTTCGTATTTTACTTAAAGGTGGTGTGTTTTAGAGGGAGGCATTTATCTTTCTATGTTCATGGGGTCTAGACTCAAATTCTTTTCTACTGCTTAACTGTGACTTCCATCTGCATGTGCCTCTTGCGGTCCTCTCTAAAGTGGGGCTAATGATTGTACCATTGGAGGATTGTAGTGGGAATCAAATGATCTTATGGCTGTTAAAATGCTATAAACTGTACCTATGGCAGAGTAATCCTTCAAGAAAAGTTAGCTGTCTTGTTTTTATTCAGATCATCAGGCCAGCTTTTTCCTTGACTCTTAGTAAGTTTTTCCTAAGAGGTTAAGGTTTGGTCAGTCCCTCCTTGCTCTAAATCTTCCTAAGTCCCACATGCCTAAAAGAAGGTCTTATGGTCACCCTGTAACCATGCCAGCCCCCTCTCTCTATTAGTCTCCCAGTGATGACACCTTGGAAGGAATGACTTAAATGTAGCACCTGATAGCACAGTGCTAATTTTTACCTGTCCTTGACATTTCAAGTTTCTCCAAGCTGTCACCCCATGAAGGCCTAACTTAGGGATTGTGGGGGGGGACAGTCAGTGCAGGATTGTTTAGGTGGCAGCCTCTGCACAGGCCTTCACTGAGGGCCCTCAGCCTCTGCAACCATCAACCTTCCTTTGTGACATAGGGGCTCCATCCTGGCCAAAGCTTGTCTCCAGATAGGAAGTAAGTGGGAAGCAAGCATTGAGAAGACTTCAGCATGACCTTGAGAAGAGTTGGTCTCTGTACAAGTTGCCTTGGTACTTCAGAACACGGAGTGTTTCGTAGATGTGTGGTGCAGTCGTGCATGAAATGTCATGAGATCCACTCTTAATTTAGGGTCTAGACTGGGCACAGGGGCCAACATGACTTGGCCACAGCAGATCCCTGAGGATGAAACAGTCAACTCTTGTGTGGGTAGGGTGAGCAGCATATGGTGGGAATCGCTTGCTGTGCTTTTAGAAAGAAGGGGGGGGCGCCTGGGTGGCTCAGTTGTTAAGCATCTGCCTTAGGCTCGGGTCATGATTCCAGGGTCCTGGGATCGAGCCCCGCATCGGAGACAATGCTCAGTAAGAAGCCTTCTCCCTCTCCCCCTGCTTGCGTTCGCTGTGTCTCTGTCAAATAAATAAATAATAAATCTTTAAAAAAAAAAAAAAAAAGAAAATGGAGCTGGTGGAGGGAAGCTGATGTGACTTCCCCGGGCACATCAGGGATGGAGCCTGAATGAGACCACCACCCCATCTACCCGTCTTGGGAAGCAAGACTGCCTGGCCCTGAATGTTCTTTGGCAGTGCCCCAAGAATCAGTTAGTTGGTCAAGGCAGCTTTGGATCTAAAATGAGAAATTCTACTAGCTTTTTTTGTATGGTCAGGTAAATATACATATTTTGCTTAATCTCTCTTATCAAAAACCTCTCAGGTAGTACTGGTGATTTCTGTTTCATGGTGGTTGTCAGGAAGGTCAAGTAACATGTCAGCTAATGATGCCACAGTCTACCATTCCCATGCCATCACTTGAGGCGGGGTTCTCCAGCTCTCTTCCCTTGGCTCATTTCATACTTTACATTTTTGTAGATGGGGAAAGATTCGTGGGAAATCAGATAAAGACTCTGGGCAGTACACATAGATGAGTCTTACTGTGGCTGTGGTCCCTTTCTGCCCGCTATGCCCCTTCTCTGACAACTCACACTGAGTGTACATCTTCTACCTGCTCTCCTGGCCTCCCATTTTTTTAAGATTCCCAAATGCCTTTTTAAGATTTTTTATTTGTTTGCAGCCTGACGTGGGGCTCAATCCCAGGACCCCGGGATCACGACCCAAGCCGAAGGCAGACACCTAACTGACTGAGCCACCCAACTGCCCCCCCAAATTCCTTTTTTGACCTCACTTGCCCAGCTGACTTAGTGGCATAGTATGGTGGTTCTAGACCCAGGTCTGTTAAGTACCTTTTTGTTGGGACACCGCCATGCCTATTTGTTTATATCCACACCAGAGGCAGAGTTGCAGTTGTGACAGACCACGTGGCCTACAAAACCAAAAATACTGATTTTTGATCCTTGGGGTGCCTGGGTGGCTCAGTCGTTAAGTGTCTGCCTTCGGCTCAGGTCATAATCCCAGGGTCCTGGGATCGAGCCCCGCATCGGGCTCCCTGCTCCACGGGAAGCTTGCTTCTCCCTCTCCCACTCCCCCTGCTTGTGTTCCCTCTCTCGCTGTGTCTCTCTCTGTAAAATGAAATCTTTAAAAAAAAAAAAAAAAAAAAACACACACACACACGATTTTGACCCTAAGGAGAAGTTTGCTAGTCTGGAGTGCTCCCACCTAGTTAGGGTTAGCTCATACTCTGAACAAGTCAAGGAACTGAGGTACAAACACTTCACAATGACCCTGGGAGAGCATGGCACGCTAACTCCAAAACCGGAGTCTGTGCTGTATTTGCTTTATTCCTTCTCCGGATCATGGGGCCTTGGCCTCTTGTCCTCTCGGGGGTCTAGAACCAAAGCACAGTGGGCAGTGGTCTGTCCTGGGAGGCTGAGCCTTGGCAGCAGGTGGTGTGGGGATTGACTTCATGGAGTGACACGTTCTGATCTCGGGGCGGGGGGGGCAGTGATAAAAAGGCAAATGGAAGAGCCGACCTGAGGGAGCTCTGGAAAAGGGACAGCTATAGGAGTAAGAAGCACCAAGGCACAGTGGTGAAGGGTGAGGTAGGTAGGGCTAGAAAGAACCTGTGTCAGGAGCTGCTCTAAGAGGAGGGGCAGCGTCAGGGAAAGACCATTGTAAGGTTTTGTGAAGGGGGTGTTGCAGGGTGGCCTTGGGCAAGTCTCTTGACTTCTCAGTTCTCAGAAGGTGCTGATTGGGAGGGAGGTGAGACTCCCCATCGTGTCTTGTCAGCGAGCAACTCTGAATTGGGACATCTGAGCGCGTTTTACTGTAGGATGGAACCTGGTCCTCTGCCCCCTGCTGTGTTAGTGGCAGGATTGAGGCCTTGGAGACTGTGCAGGAACAAGTTAAGGGGTGACAAGGTCGGGAAAGTGATTCTGTCCTTAGAAGCTTAGTGGAGAAGGGTTGAGGGCAAGATGTATCTGGGAGGCCTCCTTTCCCCACTTTGTGCCTCCCTAGGTCAGGAAGGGATCACAGACCTGAACTTAAAACCAGCTGTTGAGACGCTGGGCTGCAAAGACACTTGTGCAGCTTCCTTGGGCTGCGGTGCTCCAGTGCCCCCTCCCCTGTGACCCTCCTCCGGCTGGCAGCCCGGTGCTGGTCCCTCCTTCACAGTTGGAGGTGTGGAGTGACTCGTCATTACTAGGGACAGGATTTCCCAAGAGGAGCACAGCAGAAAGCCTTTAGAGGGACTTAAGGAGAAGCCAGTTGTGATGACACCTGGCTCGCTGTGACCCTCATAAACAGCAGCTAGGATGGCCTGGATTGGTGATATTACAACTTCACTTCAGAGGGATTTGGACCTGGGTCTCTTGGGGTGGGGGTGTGTGAAAAATAGGTCAATATTTTGTAGAATTCATGTATTTCTACTGTAATACTTTTTCAATTTGTGGAGTTAACACTCTCCCTTGTAATGGGTCAGGAAAATAATTATCAACTGGGTTGGCTGGGGGGACACCTAGGCTTGTGATGTCTGACACCACACCAGATAGTTTTATGCAGCTTTAAAAAAAGTGATGGAACCCACCACCCGTTCCTTGAAGAAACTAGTATGTTGAATTTGGCTGGAGCTTATTCTCTGCCACTCCTCGGGATTTAAGGAAATCGTGCCCTTTAGGTACCGTGGCCCAGACCACCTGAATCCGGGGTGGACTCTCAACAGCTGATGAGGAGCAGTGTTGGGATTCAGACCCTATGTTACCAGACAGCCCAGGGGTTGGCCACCCCTTTTCGTAGAGCCCAGATGAGGACCGGGCAGAACATTGGTCCGGTCTTGGCCAGGCATCTCCTGGGCATCTGTGTGCTTAGGAGTATTCATCTCACCCCCTTCGTGAGGATGTCCTGCTCTCCCCAGCCCTGGGTACAGCCCAAGTGGGAGAGCAGCTCTCCAGCCCAGTCAGGGCGTGGCCTGGGACAGGCTCGAGAGGAAGGGTGGTAGTTGTTGGGCATGCGAGCTGGTCTTAAAGTCTGGAATTCTCCAGTGATATCACTGGAAGGGGAGTTTTGGTCTTGGAGGTGTGGGGGAGGTAGAGTGTGGGGTAAAGTGGGGTAGGAAGAACCAAGGAGAAGAGTTTTAAAGTGAGCAGAGGCCGGAAGCAGTGAAACGGAGGAGCTTTTGTGTATGGTGGTCCTGATAGGTGGGGAGGGTTTCAACTGTGCTGTGGCTGTATCCGGAGACCATCTCGGGGTAGGGGTGGGGAACAAGTGCTGTGGAAGAACTACTCTGGGAGGGGCAGGCTGAGAGGAAGAGTACCCACTTCACCCCCACCCCGAGCTGGCCGCATGGACATGGCCTGGCACCAGCTCTCAGGAGTAAGTAGTTACTGACAGAGTGAATCCTGATTCCCTCTCTGATCTGTAGAACTAAGCCTTACATGCTGGGCTCTAGGGGCCCTGAAATGACCTGGAGTCCCTGTATCTGGCCCTAATGCCTCCACATTGCAGTGGCCCCCTGAAGTAGAAAGCCCAAACAGCCCCTGTAAGGGGCTGTCCCTCAGAAACAGTCTGGAGGGGTTGTCCCTCAGAGCTGTGTGACATGAGGCCAGTGAGTATCCTCCGGAGCCTGTTAGCTTTTCTGTGAAGGAGAATAGCACTAGACACCTGGGCAGTGCTCACAGCCACACTCTTCTCAGACACTGTTATTCCTGATTTTCAGATGAGGGTGAGTGACTTGCCAAGGCCATACCATCAGGCTGGGTCCTGGGGCCATCTTACTGCCTTAAGGAAGAGAATGAAAAGGGGATGGCACAGGGCCCGGTGGAGAAGTGGTCCTGTTGAACAGAACAGTGAGGGGCCAGGGACTTGCCCAAGCCAGGCTAGGGATGAGAACCCTGTGTCCACGGGGGTATTCCCATTCCAGTTTGCATGGGGTGTCCGCTCTAGCCGTGAGTTCTCCGGGGCTGAGGGGCTCGGGGAGCTGCACTCAGGTGGCGGCATGACCCTTCTCATTACCCTGCTGCCCCTCGGCCCTGGGCACGTGGAGGTGGACAGTCATGGCCTAAGCATTTGCTAGGGTCTACCCATAGGACAGAGTCCTACCTCACAGCAGCACTGCTGTGGCGGGCCCTCTGGTCTCCCAGCCTGGGCACAGGGTGCAGGATAGCTAGCGGTGGGGGCCTGATACTGGGTCTTGGTGTGTGTTCTGTTTCCCCAGTCTATATAATGGGAAGAATTAGCGGCCACACACGGAATTGGTAGTATGTGTGACCTCGAGGAAGGCCCTTCCTTCGGCCTGCCTCAGCTGTGGAGAGGAGTCTTCTCTGCTTGAGAAGGGTTCTTACATCTCCGGCCCACACCCCCGCCCCCCCTCAGCTTCCACAGCACGGCACCTGTACCTCCGGGGCGGCGCTGGGGTCGGCTCCATGACCAAGATCTACGGGGGACGTCAGAGAAACGGGGTCATGCCCAGCCACTTCAGTAGAGGCTCCAAGAGCGTGGCCCGCAGGGTCCTCCAAGCCCTAGAGGGGCTGAAAATGGTGGAAAAGGACCAAGATGGGTAAGCAGGGGCAGGGGGATGGCTGGGAACGGGTGGTGAGGAGACTTGGGGTCAGATCACCTGTAATGAAGTTGTCTAGAGCCATCCTTCCCCCACGTGGAGAGGTGCCAGGTCTGTCCTGCACGGTCCGCAGCTGCCCCTCAGGCAGGCAGGGGATTCTGCAGAAAAGCAAACAGTGAGGGGCCTCACCCCGACCTCTCTGGCTGACTACCCCAAGCTCCAGGAAGGTAATTTAGCGACTGTCCGCTTTCATTAGCCTGCTCGTTAACTTTTCCCAATTGATTTTTCGGGGCTTTTGATCTAAGGCTTGCACAAACGACACCCCGGCAGCTCCCAGGGGGGCTCCCACTCCTGCCCCCAGCTCGTTAAAATGCAGCCGACCGGGGCCCTCAGTGGGACTTGGCTGGTGTCATGTGGTCCCATGGCCAGGTGCCTTCTTGGGAAGCCTGGCTCACATCCAGGAGGGGCCTCGCAGCGACAGGGCTGAGAGCCTGCACTCATGGGGGGCTGCTTGACTGTTCTCCCACAGGGGCCGCAAACTGACACCTCAGGGACAGAGAGATCTGGACAGAATCGCTGGACAGGTGAGGCCTGGGTGTGTGCCAGGGCTGGGTCCCTTAGTCACTGCCCAGGGAATTTTCAGAGCCTGGGCTTTGTTAGATCAGAGTTTCCTCCCCCGGAGGTCACACCCCAGCCTGGTGGGGGTCAGAGGAGGGCTGGCCGGGGGGGGGGGCAGGGGGCGGGTACAGGAGAAAGAACGGTTCTGACTGACTTCCTGCTAGAGCTGGTTGGAAATGCGGGTGCTGGAGTGCAGCTGGGCTTGTTTCTCATGCAGGACATGTTCCTGGACATACAACTCCCTCCTCCCAGGTCAGCCTTCTTAGGATTCTGGCTGCACTGTTTCCTCCTACTCTTCATGCGTGCTGAGCACCAGATGGGACGGCTGTGGAGACGGGGAGGCAAGCCAGCTCAGAACTCAGGTCTCCATCCAGATGACTGACTGGCTGGACACCTGGGGGCAGAGTCCGTTTGCCTGGAGCCGGTCTCCCCGTCTGTGGAGCAGTCTCCTCTTGCCAGCCTCAGAGGGTGGTAGTGAGGGCTCAGTGAGCTACAGCAGCAGGAGCCCCCAGGGCCAGGCGTGAACCCGTTGTTGGTTTTCTTCTTTATGTATCATTGACTCAGGTCTCCTAGGAGCTTTGGAGAGAGCTTAGTCACTTAGTCCAGGAGCAGAAGAGAATAGAAGGTGTCAGCCCCCTGAGCATCTGGGGGCAGCCTGGAAGGAGCTGGTGAACTCTTCCAGGGCAGGGCAGAGCCTGGCACGGACATCCGTGTGGGTCACGGGGCAGTGGCGTTGCAATCCCATTTCCTGTCTTCGAGTCCACGTTGACGCTTCTGTAAAAGGCCGTGCCTGAGGTTGTAGGGATCAGATCAGATGAGTGCATGTCAGGCCACAAATCCAGTTGGCTGGTGTCCCTCGGGTAGTGGGTAGCTGCTTCAGAGTGCCGGGACACAGACCCCATGGCCCATCCTGATTACTTCCCCATCTTTTCCCGCAGGTGGCAGCTGCCAACAAGAAGCATTAGAGCAAATGCTGGGTCAATAAATTGCCTCGTTCGTAATCCTGGTCCGGGTCTCTCACTGGCTCTCGCCTTCCATTGGGGGCAGGAGGAAGGAGCACTGCATGGCACTTCTTCCCTCATGAAGGGGGGGGGCCTGGGGGGCTGTGGCACCAATACCCACTAGAGCCTGAGGCCCAGCCTTCCCAACTGAAGCCCTTCTACCCCTAGTGGGCCCTGTGCCCCAGCTAGGCTGGTGGTTGGGTGGGGCCGGGACCTGGAGCCTCTCACCCCTCCCCCCACATCCTGCCTTTGCAGTTCTCAGATGAGAAACCGAGAAAAGAGTGGCTGTTGAAGCGGTGGCCCCAGTTGGGGCCTGTGCTGCAGAGGTCGCACTCTGTCCCCCGCTGGAACAAAAGCAGGAGGGGCAGGTGGCTTCTTCCCTAAAGGAGGTAGACTTGGGACAGCCACCTTTCACTCCTGGTGGCTCCTTGAGTGTCCCTGGTATGCACCTTTTGGAGCTAGTTGTCCCTGCCCAGAGTTGGGATGGGGTGCCACTTCCCACACCCACCACTGCCCGAAGAGAGGGTTGTGTGAGGCTCCTGCACAGAGGTTGAGCTGGGCCGTCAGGCGGCACGACCTCTACAGTCCTGCATGGCAGTTGGCTCTCGGTGCAAATGGGGTGGGAGCTCTGAAGGGCACCAAGTGGGCATGTGCCAGATCCCAGAAAGCTGAGCCTGGAGAATTGGCCCCATGTGACCAAACCCACCTCCTCCTTGGGGAACACTACGAAGCAGAGCCTGAGCTGGCTCCGCCAAGGTCTCCTGATTTCCCCCAGCCCGTTATTGGACCCATTTACTTCCAGTGCGAAGCCTGGGCTTTGAACTCAAGTGACTCGTGTTCAATAACCTTCCAGCTCTGACCCTAATTCTATGCAATCCTGAACCACTTACTCCCCCTCTGAGCCCTCCGCTCCTTGTCTGGATCACTCCTGAGAGGTCTGCAGAGTTACGTATAGATAGTGCCTTGGCTCAGAGCAGTGCACCAAGCACACGACCAGTTACTTGGTGGTCAGGATGGAAAAAATCAGTCCCACATCCGGTGGGGAATGAAGCTGTCATCCCTCCCAGCTCCAGCTCAAGTTTGTGCTGAATAAACAGCCTATCATGTGCAAGGCACTTACTAAATCACTTAATACAACTAGGCAACCCTGTGAAGGTGCCAAAAAACACCCGCATTTTCGGTATTGGGAAAGTAAGTCACAGGTTGGGTCGTTTGCCCATGTACCACAACGAGGGGGTGGCAAAACTGGAATTTGAACTTGGGCAACCAGGCTCTAGTCACTGCAGCTCATTGCCCCATGGAAGTAAGGGAAATGGAAAAACAAGGCGTGAACATTATGTGCCTGGGCATGGCCTTGGGCCAGTCACTCCCTCCCTGTTCTGGGCTCCAGTTTCCTTTTTTGTCAATTGAGGAAGAAGACTTCTTGGAGTAGACATGCGAACACAAGGCAGCAAGGCCCAGGACCTGGTTGGCAGACGGCTAAGTGGCCGGTGGGTGGCGTCCCTGCAGGCCAGTCTGGCCTGAGGGCCTGCAATCCAGCAGCTGTGCCTCTGCGGCCACTAGGGGGCGGTCGAGGGCCTGGAAACTGCCTCAGCCGACGGAGGGGAATGCTGCAGTGTCTGAGCCCGGGGTTTCTTCCTAGGTGGGGGGTCATAAGGAGGAACTGAAGTGCGGAGGGGCTGGTGACCTGCTATAAAGCAAGGGTCGCAACAGAACACCTGGGTCCCCGGAGAGAAGGGAACGGGGGAGGGCCCCCAGGCCAGAGAAGGGGAACTATGTCCTTGCAGCCTCACGAGGGGGACAAGGGTGGTGGAGGGCCCAGACAACAGTAGGCTGACAGAGTTGAGATTCAAACACAGGAGTCACGAACTCTTGAGGCCCATGCTCCTCTGTGTGGGTGACAGTTGGATTTTGTTTTTTTAATTATGAAATGATTCAAGCATGCAAAACAGCATACCTATTAGTGTAAGAAAGACCCGTGGGCCCACTACCCAGCTTAAGTAAAACAAGACCTAAAGCCAAGACAGGAAACGCCCTCCTCCCTTCCCCCAGAGGGAACCCCTCTCAGGAATTGGGTGTCACTCACCTGCATGGGTTCACACCTCCACTACAGAGGGACGTGTCCCTAACGGCACCCAGTGTTTCGCCTTTTGAAAACAAGTCAGTTGCACGCTGCATGTGTTGTCATTTCCATGTCATTACTGAGACGCAGCTGGGTTGACGAGTAGAGCGTCTTTTCGCCTGCTGAGTACTTTACTGGCGGCCTACGTCACCCCGTGTGCATCCTGTTCTCCCGTACATGGACTTTTTGTTTCCGCTTTCCTACCAAAAATCTCCCTGCGGTAAATTTTTTCCCTGTGTGTCTCCTTGTGTGCACATGTGATGGTCCCCTAACTGCTCACAAACATCTCAACAGTCTCTGTGATTCCCCACCCCCACTCCTCAGACTCCGTTTCCTTCCACGTGACCTAAAATGCTGCCCAACAGCAGGTGGGCGCACACAAGTGACTCAATCTCTGCTCCACCACTCCCAAGCTGTGTTACACCTGGCAAGTGATGGCATCTCTCTGGGCCTGTTTTCTCTCTAAAATGGGGGGTGGCCTACCTTGCCCACTTGTGGGGAGGCTGACTCACGTCAAGAGCCCGTTGTTGCTCTAACTCCTCGGGTGCTGGGAACAGCATCTCATGTCACAACACTGGGGAGATATTCTTATGCTCATCTCTCATGAAAAATGCCAAGGCTGGGGGTGCCGGCTGGCCAAGTCAGTAGAGCATGTGACTCTTGACCTCTGCGTTGTGAGTTTGAGCCCCACATTGAAAGCAGAGATTACAATAAAAAAAAAAATTTTTTTTTAATGCCAAGGCTCAGAACAGGAAGCCACCACCTAGTCATAGAGCTGGTCGACCTGCCCCATTTATTTGTCCTGAGCATTAATAGGAGTCACG